GCAAATGCTGGGTGGGACCTCTGGAGACCTAGGGGTTTCCACTCTCATCCTTTTGGAGCCCCAAGACCACTATACTAGGATGAATTCAGGATGAAACGCCACATGGGAGAATGGGTCAGTCACCCCAGCCAAGTGTGAGTAAGGCCAGTTCCACCAGCTGCCTGCTGCCACTTGAGTAATCTAAGACCAGCAGAAAAGTCACCCACACCCTTGGAATCTGGAGAACTAAGGAATCATTGTTTTCTGCCAGTAAGTATCGAAGTTGTTTCTCCAGAAGCAGAAGCAAACTGATAGAGTGGGACTATCTTTCAGATAGATTTTCAGAAGTGGGATTGTTGGCTCAAGTATAGGTGCATTTATGAATTTGATAAATATTTTCTGATATATCATTTCATATTCTCATCACCAATGGGTAAAAGTTTCTGTTTCCCCTCCCTTCCCCCCACCAACCTCCCCAGAATGTTGTGCCAAACTTTTGGATCTTTGCTGAAGCAATAAATAAAAAATGATTTATCAGAATGGTTTCAGTTTTCATTTCTCTTATTATGTGTGAGGTTGAACATCTGCAGATGAGTTTAAAGCATTATGCATTTTCTTTTTTGTGATCTGTCGGTCATGTTCTTTGCCCATTTTTTGAGATTGAACTGTTGTTATTATCAATATGTAATTGTGTTTTAAACAGTAGGGAGACTAGTTCTTTGTATATGTTAAGAATTGTAAATATTTTTTCTTAGTTTGTTATCTATTGACTCTGTTTTGACATTCTTACCACACAGAATTTTTTTCACGTAGACAACTATATTAATCATCTACATTATAATTTCTGATTTTTGAGTTGGCATTATGAAGGATTTTGTCCATCTTTTCTTCCAGTATTTTTGTGGAGTTGGTGCTGAAAACTTGTATGAGCTATCAGATCTAGAATTAAGTTAAAGGGTAAGGTTGTAACATGGTATCACCTAAATGGAGAGGAAGCAGAGAAGAACAGGAGCAACTTGGAGAGTTTTTTTTTTTTTAAGATTTATTTATTTATACATATAGAAGCTAGAGGTGCAGGGGGTGAGAGGATTCACCAGAGACAGAGTGGGGAGCAGAACAGGCAGATGTACTGAAATACACTGCTGAGGAGAGCATCGGGTGGGTCAGGGGAGGTCTGCCACACCATGTGGGTCACCCCTTGGCCAGGGATCGAACTCATGCTGCAGTGGCTGTGGATTGCTTCATAGTGCTGTGCTTTAACCTGCTGCGCCACCCGAGAAGGCCCGACCTGAAGATTCTTAAGGGGAATTGATATAATCTACTTGGGGCACATTGAGTTTAAGATGCCTGAGGCACCTCCAGGAAGGGGTGGCAAGAGGTAGATGGATTCAGGACTTTGAGCTCAGAAGAAAATTTGTTTGGAGATATGATGAGAGCCGGCATCAGGATGTTGGTGGGGGTGGTGGTGTCTCAGATGTAGTGCAGGTGTAAAAAAGGTCAGGTCTATAATACAATCATGGGGGCTTTATCTCCATGGCCCTTGAGGCTTGGCACAAAAATAGCTTCAGAGATGTTTTTAGGATGAAGAGGGGTCATGTCTGACATGCACAGACATGAAAGTGCATGGAAACTTTGACTTCTGGGGACACAAACAGAGAGGGAGAAGATCACCCACCTCCCTGAGGTTGTAGAGAGACTGTGACAGAGGACTGGAGAAGGCTCCCGTCTGTCTTGCCTGCAAAGACTGTTGGCTCCCTTTACACCCAGTGATCCAAAAGCAGGGCATCAATAGGGAGCACCAAGTCTCTAAAGGTGGGTGGAAGTTGGGGAGCCTCTCTTGGCTGGTGTTTTACTTGGATCAGGGTGTAGTGCTTGAGAGACATGACTCTTAACACACTAATCCACTATCTGGGCCAATCCTGGGTCTCTCAAGCACTGGTATGTAAACTTGGCCACATTACTTGACATCTCTGTGCTTCAGTTTCCTCCAGTGTAAAGGACGATAATATTATCTAGCTCAGAACACTGATAAGAGGATTTAAAAAATTAATATTTATCAAGTGCTTGTATTGTTGCCTGGCTCATAGTAAATGCTATATAAATAATAATTTAAAAATAATTCATTATGAAAATTTATTACCAACTCTGTGTGTCAGGCACTGTTGTTGGCACTGTGGATGAAGAAGTGAATAATGCAGATGTAAACCCCTGTCCTCTTGGAGCTCACATCCTGGTACATGGAAAGGAGGAGTGAAGACAAACACTATATAAAATGAGCAAAATATATGGTGGTTGAGACCCGAGTGTAGACATGAGAGATATACAGAGTTGACAAGGCCACCAGTCTGGGACATGATGCACAATGGGAGACGGAAGGAGACCCTGGAAAGCAGCCGCGTGGCACTGCTGGCAGAGAAACTTGGGCTGCTGTCACCCTCACAGTGATAAGAATCATCATCTGTGTCATACAATAGCAACAAATTCTTCTTTTTTAAAAAGATTTATTTATTTATGCATACAAGAACTGGGATGTAGGTCAGAGGTATGGGGGGGTAAGAAGATTCACCAGAAAAAAGTGGGGAGCCCAACAGGCAGATTGGCTGAAATGCACTGCTGAGGGGAGCAGCCGGTGACACAGGAGAGGTCTGCTGCTCTATGTGGGTCAGCTCCTTGGCGGGGGATGGAACTCGTGCTGCAGCGGCTGCCAATTGCTTGATAGTGCTGAGACTTAAAGCTTATGACACCAGAGGAGGCTCCAGCTGCAAATACTTCTATAACATTTATTCTGTACTGGCCCCGTTCTATTCATTTTATATTATTTATTTATTTTATATTTTTAAGATTTATTTTATTTGTACATACAGAACTGGGGTACAGGCCAGAGGCTCAGGGTCGGTGAGAGGCTTCACCAGAGACAGAGTGGGGAGCAGAACAGGCAGACCAATGAAGTACACTGCTGAGGGGAGCAGCGGGCGGGTCAGGAGAGGTCTGCTGCACCATGTGGTCACCTCCGGGGCAGGCGGCAATCGAACTCATGCGGAAGTGGCTTTAGCTTCTCAGTGCAGTGCTTTAACCCGCTGCACCACCAGGGAGGGCCATTCATTTTATATTATTTTAATAAACACTTGGTATTCTCACTTTTCAAATGAGGAAACTGAGGCATAGAGAGCTTTGGTAACCTGCCTCATAGAGTTAATAAGTGAATGAGCTGGGGTTCCAACCCAGGTCATCTGGCTCTAGTGCTGGTAGGATAACCCTGCAGGTGAAGGGACAGGACAGGCTGCCCAGATTCAGAACCCAGTAGGGCCTGATGGTCACACAGACAAAAGTAACACACACACACCCCATCTGCTTGTCCAAGAACCAGTATACTTACTTAATATACTTAATACAGACTTCACATTTGCTTAGAAGACCTAAGAAGTCACAAGTAACTATGAAACAGAGATGAAAGGCTCAGCTCTCGAGAGCTGCAGCCCCAGCGCTAGTCTTCCTGTTGACCCCTGCTCCCCACTTCCCTACACACCATTCCACAAGACTTTGACTCCAACCTCTAGCCACTTTAATTACCTCAAAGCCATTTTCCAACCTCGTAATTATTGAACCTAAGAACTCATAAAGAGTACCTCTCATCCCCCACCCCCACTGAATAGATGGAGATCAAGGGCGCAGAGACAAGAAGTCATTTCTCAGAAGTCCATACACCTCTGTCACAAGAATCTAGGCTTTCTTTTCAGGGCATATTGGGGGAGGGCTATTTTCCCCCTTAGCTGAAACTTCATCTAAGCTCCCTGGAAAAAGATACAAACAGAAAACCCTGGGATCCAGGAGACCGGATATTCACTGAGTGGCTGTGATGACTCCTATAAAATGTAAGTTTTACAAGCTCAAGAGATTGTCTGTCAGTGCTGATGTAACTGGGGCCTCAGAACAGTGTCTGGCTCAGCCATTGTTAATATCGATTGAATGAGGAATGTCTGAAGGGTCAAGGTTAGAGAAATATTGGGGTGAGAGCCTGAAGCCAAGAGAACCACAAGCTTTATCTCTAGATACACGAATGGCTAACACTCTGCCCACAAACTTTTATTGAGAACATATTATGTGCTAGGTAGGAACAAGACCCTGGGGATTCAGGTGAGAACAACACTGATCTCAAGAGTTCATGGTTTACTACAATGTGGAGTGCGTGCAGATTTTTTGTGGGCTCCAGAGAGCAGACCCAGGTGCAAGGTAGTGGTGTGTGTGCGTGTGTGTGTGTGTGTGAATGGCAGACTGCTTGATGTAATACAGCCACTTTTCTCAGCCTGAGCTGCCCTGAAATGGTCTTGTTGCTCAGAAAGTGATGAGTGCAGTGGGACTGCAGTGTTCAAGCAGGGCGCCAGCCACCCACCTGTTAGAGGTTGCGCCAGGAGTATGCGGGAGAAGAGATTTCTGCCTCCGGTGAGGTCACTTCCCACCCCCACATTCTCTGCCTACAAAACCCTGCAGTTCTTACGCTAGATCTTATTAGTTTTTTAATTTCAAGGTCCCCTGATGCTGACAGCCCCACATTCTAAGTCGTTCACTCTGCCCACGCCCCGGCCCGCCCTCCGCCGACCCCCATAAAGCAGAATTCAGCGAGGTTCCTTCCACCCACAAGAAAGGTTTCTAGGGGCAGTCAGCGCCCCCTCCCCGCCTCGGGGGAGGCAGTAAGGGCGTAACTCCGGCGCCGCAGACGGCGTGGGGAGCAGAGTGTTCCAAAGGCGAAGTTGACAGTGCCGAAACACGTGACAGTTAAAGCGTCACGTTCTGTGGTCCTCGAGGCTGGCACCGGGAGGGTCACGTGACGCGGGGGCACCATGGGGTGATGTGAGATACAGGGCCTTTCAGATGACGTACGAATGACGCACTCCCACCCCTTCTGGCAACTAGATTTCCGTTGGAAGATGCGACAGTTCCTGTGAAGGGGGCGGGTCTCGGGTCCTGGCAGTCTTACTTCCGCTTGGGGCGGCACCACTTCCGACCTCCGCCCCTCCCTGGGGCGAGGATGAGACGCTGTCCGGTGCGCATGCCCAAAATCGCCCCAGAGGGGGCGGGGCCGCGGCTGCGGGAGCGGGAGGCGGGGAAAGAAAAGGGAATTCCAACCTGTGGAATCTTGGGGGCCCCCGAGGTCAGCTCCTTTCCATTGACTATGGATGGTGCTAGGGGCTGAGCCTCTGACGATCCGTGGGGGGCTTTGGGATCCGCAGTGTGAGAGTGGAGGGGAGTGTCAGTGTGAGTGGGGTTTAGGACTTCCAAACTTGGGATCTGGAGGCCCTCTGGGCTCAGGTGCCGGGAAGGAGCTGGAACCGCCATGCGGGACAGGACCCGTGAGCTGAGACAGGTGAGGAGTCGGGGTAGCAGGGCTGGGGTGGTGGGAGGACGGAGTGGGGTCTTGCTGGCAAGGAGGATTCCTGGTCTTGGAGCGGGGAGGGGTGACTGAAGGCCAGGAAGGGAAGACCCGGAAGCCCGTGGGTCGTCCGGAGCTAGAACGACAGCAGGGAAGTGATGCGAGTGACCTCGGCCCTGGCAGGGGGATGACAGTTCGGACGATGAGGACGAGGAGAGCATCGCGCTGGTGGTACACCCGGGCACCGCGCGCCTGGGGAACCCGGACGATGAGTTCTTTCAAAAGGTAAGAGGCTGGGATCTTGGCCCGGACTGACGAGGGCACTGGTGGACCCGAGGGGCAGCGCAGTCTGGAGGATTTCAGTATCTCCTTCGGCCCTCTCGGTCCCCTCCTTCAGGTCCGGACCATTCGGCAGACCATTAACAAGCTGGAGAGTAAAGTCCGGGAGTTAGAGAAACAGCAGGTCACCATCCTGGCCACGCCCCTTCCCGAGGAGAGTGAGTAGAAACCGAGTACAAAACACATGCTCAGCCAAAAGGATTGTGGGGGCTGTAGTTCCACGCAGATGGTGCCCAGGGAGGTTTGTTGAGGTAGGGGCTGATGTTTGAGAGTTATGGTCTTCTCTTCAGACATGAAGCAGGACCTGCAGAATCTGCGTGAAGAGATCAAACAGCTGGGAAGGGAGATCCGGTCGCAGCTGAAAGGTGAGCTTCTAAGACCAGAGACAGCCATCCCCCTTGTCCTGCCAAACCAGAGACAGCCATCCCCCTTGTCCTGCCAAACTCCTGTGGAGTGTGTGACCTAGAGAAGGCAGTGATGTAGCTAGGTCACACAGGAGGCTTCTCCCTATAAGCTCTCTTTCCAGTCCATGACTGTCTCAGCTTCCTTTATTTATAGTGAAGCCATTTACTCCTACGTTGCTGCCCAAATTGAATTCTTTGGGCAGGAAGAATGGGTTTTGTTAGGAGGCCTCTACATCCCATGGGAATTCACTGACGTATTTCAAACAAAAGTTGACTTTCTCCTGTCAGACTCAGAATTTGTCGTTTTTTATAAATTATATTTATTGGGAAACTCCTATCATGTGCCCCGTCATGTGACTGGGACATGACTCAAACTCTGTGTCCTGGTGAGCGAGTGATTTGTAGGAGCCACCAAACCCCCTCCCCACCAATGTCTTCATGTCTTCCCACAGTCATAGAGCCGCAGAAGGAGGAAGCTGAGGAGAATTATAACTCGATCAACACGAGAATGAGAAAAACCCAGGTGGGTTTGTTGTTCCCAGAATTAGGACATTTCAGCAAGTGTTTTATATATTAGATGGCAGCATAGGAAAGGAGGTCTTTGGAGATCATCGAGTTCAACCTGATGGTTTTTCAGATAAGGAAATTAAGGTTCAGAGAGGAAAAGGTCAAAACACTAGATCTTCTGATTCTCCATCCATTATAACACTCTGTTTTCTTCTCTGTCCAATGAGAAGTTGCTGAGTCCCTAGACGTGACCTGGGCTCAACTGTGGGAAACAGTCTTTGCAGGAGGCAAGATGGGGAGTTGGAGCTGAGCAGGCTACAAAGATAGCACACAAGTAGGAGATGGCAGCTGATGGCTCTGTCCAGGGAAGAAGTCAAATGACTGGAAGGTTTCCTGCCCACATGATAAGCATATGCTTTGCTTCATAGGCAGAATTCAAGAAATCAAGAAAGGGAACTTTCCTGGGTGGGGGCAGAGGGAAGGGTGCTGAATTAATATCTTAGTAAGGAGATTTGCAGTGATTTAACCTGCCCCTTCTGGGTGCCCACGGAAGAGTGGTTTGGAGGTTTTTTTTTTTTTAGAGATTTATTTATTTATGGATCAAGAACTGGGCTATAGACCAGAGGTGGAGGTGTGTGTGTGTGTGAGAGAGAGAGAGATTTCACCAGAGACAGAAGAAGGAGGAGAACAGGCAGATCTACTGAAATACATTGAGGGGAGCAGCAGGTGGGTCAGGAGAGGTCTGCTGTGCCATATGGGCCACTTCCCTGGCCGGGGATTGAACTTGTGCTGCAGTGACTGAGGAGAGCCTCATAGTGCTGTGCTTTAATCTGTTATGCCACCAGGGAGGGCCCTGGGTTGGAGTTTTTGAAAGTAAGAGACTGAGTAGTGGATCCTGAGCTCAGCAATGACCCCAGACTAAAGATGAAACAGTTTGGCATCTTTAAAGGGTGCAGCTGAAGCCATGAAAGCTGGAATTCCCAGGAAGGAGCACATGTAAGGTATCAGGAGGAAAAGGCAAGAGGGGATTTAAGGAAGCCCATGATGATCATGGGTGGGAAAGGCTGAGGACCTGTGCCATCTCGGCAACAGGCTGCCTCCAGCCACACTGTATGCCTCTCCTCTAAGCAGTTAGGCTGGCATTCAGCAAGCACTGCACAAATATTTAAGTATCTAATGTGTGCCAGTCATTTTCCCAGCTGCTTGGGGCCCAACAGTGAACCAAAGACCCCTGTTCTTGTGGGACTTCATATTACAGTGGGGAGAGACAATCACCATAATAAATAAGTTGTATATTTTAGAACTATAATAATTATTAAGAGGGGGCCGGGAGAAGTTAAAATGCCATTTCAGTACATAGAGGAATGTTCATTTAGAGGATGATATGAGAACAAATCCTATAGGCCTTTGTGAAGGATAAGCATTCTGGGCCAAAGGAGCCGCAAGTACAAAGGTCATTAGTGCAGGTGTGCTTGGTTCTCGAAGGAGAAAGGAGCTTCTGTGGCTAGGAGGAGGGAGTAAGGGATCTGTGGTGGAGATGAGGGCAGAGGGGAGGTGGGGGAGGCGTGTTAGGGCCTGACGGGTCCTGGAAAAGGCTTTGGGTTTTATTGTGAGAGATCTGGGAGCCTTTCAAGGCCATCGAGGCAGCCGGCACCTTAACAGCTCAAGCTGTCAACTCGCTGTTCCAATGGGATGCTGAGGCCCAGACCAGGCAGGGATCCTCCCGGGTGTGCCCAGCCTCTATTCCCCTTCCTCAGCATGGGATCCTGTCCCAGCAATTTGTGGAGCTCATCAACAAGTGCAACACCATGCAGTCCGAGTACCGAGAAAAGAACGTGGAGCGGATTCGGAGGCAGCTGAAGATCAGTGAGTTGTGGCGCCCGTCCCACAGGGGTAGGGTACTTGACCCAGCACTGAGCTGGACTTTTCCTTCACAGCAAATGCTGGAATGGTGTCCGATGAGGAGCTGGAGCAAATGCTGGACAGCGGGCAGAGTGAGGTGTTTGTGTCCAATGTGAGTGGCTGCAGCTAGCTTCCCTGTGCTAGGCCACCCATGCTTGCTAAGTCCTGGCTGTGTTTTTTTTTTGAGGGAGGGAATACTCCACTCCCAGAAGGGGACATCTAGCGTGCCTGAAGTCTGTCCTCGGTGCTCCAGCCTCAGTTCTGCGTCCAGTGGTTGCCCTATAGCTCAACAGGAACCTTGGACCTGTTGCTGGTTTTCCTGTGACCTACCCTTCCATTCCTATCTGCTCCCCAGATACTGAAGGACACTCAGGTGACACGACAGGCACTAAATGAGATCTCGACCCGGCACAATGAAATCCAGCAGCTTGAACGCAGTATCCGTGAACTTCATGAAATGTTCACTTTCCTGGCTACTGAGGTGGAGATGCAGGTGGGCACCCCAGGTCCCAGATGTGTGAGGCCATGTTTAGTTAGAACCCCAGCTGTGACTGTCGACCTCATTGGGTGCTTAGCTTCTCTCTCTGAGGCTTTTGTTTGTCTCCAAGCTTGGCCATGGCCCAGACCTCTGTCCTTAGCTGTGCCCCAGAATTACATCTACCTTGACAGCCACTCCTGTGTACATAATATCCCACCCTTGCACCACTTAAGCCCAGTTGTGGCCCCATCCCTGGCTCTTCCACCACCCACTTCCACCCCATTTCCCACAGCTCCAGTCAAAGTTGTGCCCTAGAAGCCTGCCTCCTGAAATCTGTATAAGGTCGAGGAGGGCGGTGGCATTCTTCCCTGGCTCTGGTTTTTGGGGTGAGGTGAACTTTCAGCCCTGTCCTGGAGGAACTGATCACTTGTGTATAACTAATGCCCTTTTACACCCACAATTCATGGGGAAGGGGTTTCATTCAGCTGGAATACTAGGTCCTGGCAGTGTCAGGGGGAGGTAGGATTAGCCAGGGCTTCACAGCAGCCAGGAGATAGGCCCAGAAGAACACGCAAGTTCAGACAGACTTGTGAGGGCAAAAAGTTAGCCCTCGTGGAAAGGTATGAGCCGTTTAAGGCACTTGGCTCTTGGCTCCAAGTTGCCACTACAGAGAGAGGTTGTGTGGGGCAAGGAAGCTGGGCAGGCAGCAGTCCACGCGAGGAGGAAGCCTGGCAGCCACCCGAGATGTGAGCTTTGTCAGATGTGGTCCTGCTCCATGTCTCTGTCAGCAGTTTGTACTGCCCCTCCTCTGAGCAGGGGGAGATGATCAACCGGATTGAGAAGAACATCCTGACCTCAGCTGACTACGTGGAACGTGGGCAGGAACATGTCAAGAATGCCCTGGAGCACCAGAAGAAGGCTCGGAAGGTGAGCCTCCCCACCCCTCCCTGACCCTGGCGGCCCTCCTTCCCCACCTGAATTTCCCTGACACTTGCCCTCCTCTCCTGCAGAAGAAACTTATGATTGCCATTTGTCTGTCCATCACTGCCCTCATTCTGGTGATCATCATTTCCATCTCATTGATTTGATACCTTCGCACATTCTCGGTGAGATATTGTGGGCCTGTCCCTAACCTGCCCTCCCAGCCCCGGCCTGTCCTCCTCCCCTCAGACCCTCTTCTCCCTCCTTCCCTTGTAGGCACTAAGAGCACCGGGGACCCAGGGTCTGCCTTCTCTCCCAGGAGCTGGGGAGGGCAGGACAGAGCCTCCAGCCGGACCCCCATATTCGCCCCATGCACAGGGGCAGACGGTTCTTCTGGGGTTGGCAGCCATTAATTCATGGGGGCCTTCCTGCTTGGGCCACAGTGCCTGGGGGAGGGCATGCAGTGTCCTGTTTGGCTTGGACACATGGTTTTGTAAGAAATTAAAAAAAAAAAGAGAGAGCTTGGAAACTCCCGTGTGTGTGTATTTCTGGAAGGGCCAGGGCCTCCAGGTGTCTAGCCTCCCCTCCCCTTGACCATCCTAGATATCGGCCCAGGCAGGTGCAGAGAAGACAATCCTAGTGCAAAGCCCACAGCCAACTGGCATGGCCCTTCTGTTCTCCCACAGGAATAGGGCGCCGGGGAGGGGGTTACACCCACATCTGGCTGGGTACTTACTGTCCTGGGGAAAGACTGCTGTGAGTGCCTGACCCTGAAGAAGTGAGTCTGGCCAGGCCAGACTGGGATACAGGTGAGAGGTGTGTGTGGCATCAGTGGGCATTCCTAAGATCAGGAGGAAGAGGCAAAGAAATCTGAGTAATTGAAGGCTGTTGTTTTGGATACAACCTGCAGGGAAGGGCCTGCTGGGGGAGGGGAGTAGAAGAGGGGACATGTTCAAGTTGATTGCTAAGTGAGAGAAGCCAGTTCTGGGAAGAAGCTGGGGAAAGCGTGGCCAGGCCGAGGAAACAGCAGGCCAGAGCCTTGGAAAAGGCATTGTCTTTGACTCAGAGTTCAGCTGGAGAGCCATGGCTCAGCTGAGCACAGCTGCTTCTTAAGTGGCTGAGAGGCAAGTAGAGGCAAAGAGGCGAAGAAGCTTGCCCCCTGTTTTTCATGAGGCACCCCTAGAATATAAATGTCTAGGGGTTCCTAGTAGGGTTACCTAGTTTCTGGAGGTGGGTGTGGTGCCTTTCCCCAGACATGGGGTTTCAGGGCTAAGCTGGCTCCTGGCTCCCACCCTTGATGGTGGTGGTGCCTGACTCAGACCTGGGCCTGGGAACGGGGTTCCTGCAACCTGGACCCATCCGTTCTGACTCCACAGGTTCCTGCTGCCACAGTATCGCTTTCTTCTGCATAACCTGGTGCTGGGTTAATGCCAGCCTACAATAGATGGAAGTGACGTTGGTGAATGCCTTCTCAGCTCCGCCCCTGGACCTGGTCTCAGGCTGGGGGAAGGACCGGAGGGGACATTGGGCTTCAATAATCCGCAACCGCAGGCGCTCTGCTGCAGTCCTCATTCCCCTGGCACCCGCCTGCCGTGCCTCTGGGTGGCCCTGGATGACACTTACACTGCGCCTGCGCCGGGTTCCTGTGCGCGGTGCCAGGAGCTGTGTGGGGCGTGGCGGAGATGTGGCCTGGCCGCAACCAGAAAACGATTGGCCCGCGGATCTAATGGATGTTCCTAGGGAAGATGGCAATTGGTTTAGGGAAGTGACTGTCCTGGTTTAGCAACTAGACGGAGATGTGGGCGGGGCTTCGGCAAGTCGCACGCAAAAGTGGTTGGATCGCAGCGCAGGGGCTTGATCAAACCCCCAGAAGCCACGGAAGGCACTAGGCTAGTAAGTGGCTGCTGGGAGCAAGCTCCCCAGTTGCTGAAGTCAAAGCAGCGCAAGTCCGGGAGGGTACCCACCCCTGGGGTCATGAGTCCTGTTTACAGATGAAGTTCTAGAAACCTGCAGGAAAGAGCTCCTTCTCAGCTGTGTGCAAATGCAGTTTGGGCGCCCACCTGATGGGAGCAATGGGGAGCCTTGGGACTAGAGCGATCCTGCCACTGTAGAAGCCCGATTTGGACGCAGGACCTCTGAGCTTCCCTGATCCTCCATTTCTTCCCCTGCTGCCAGCACCTTAGGCAGAATCCTGCCTTCTGCCTTCTTTGTCTATTCCCTCAGCTTTGGAGTGAAACTGCACAGCTCATGACACCTACTGGGGTCTGCTATAGATGACGAAGTCCATGCAGAAGCTGGGCTGCATCTGTGCAGCTGGTTGTCCATGTGCCTTATGCTTGGCCACACTGGACCGCATCACCCATGAAGGCTGTGAAGGCTGCTTACCTGTCTGGCCCAGGAAGCTGTCTAGAACATCCTGGAAGAAGTGGCTAAATAGCCAAGTGAGATCTGGAATGCTGGCTTGTTGGAACTTTGCCAGTGATCTCAGGGGCCCACAAGAGGTCTTAAGCAGGTGAGCGACCAGTTGGAGCTGACCTAGCACAGGGGGCCTTGCACTGGAGATTTCATAGCCCCTTGTGCAAACCCCTCCCTGTGGGTAGCCAGCTTCAGTGAGGAGCTAAGGGATGGTTTTGTGCTGAAATTCTGACCTGGCTGCTACCATCCTGCAGGTACCAGGATCTTGGTTAGCCGAGACTTCTAAATCTGTGTCTTGCATCACAACCTTTCTTCTGCAGCTCTTTTCATTTACTGCCTCACTCAATAGTTCATGGTTCAAATTCCCAAGAAAAGGAAGCTGATTGGTCCAATCTGCTCTCTGAGTCAGACTACATTGATTTGCCAATGAATTGTCCCCCTCTCAAGTCTTTACCCTTGACCAAAGTGTATGCGAGGTGTTATGTAACAGAGTCCTGCAGGAGTGTCCATGAAGGAGTAACTGAACTCAGTGATTGACATTCCTGTTTCAGCAAGGTGGTAGACTTAGTATTGTTGCAAATACATATTATATGTCCTTCCTCCTGGGCCCACTATAGGAAGGTCATACATACAAAAGGCTTGGCCATTTGACTTACTTTGGCCAAAGGAATATGAGTAGAAATGTAACATACTAGCTAAAATATGTAAAACAAAAACAAACAAAACAAGCTTCTAAATAGAAGCTTGAAGCACCAATGGCAACTTCCCTTCTCCTTTCTCTCTCCAACAAACCTAGCGACTCCCATCATGACTTCTTCCCAGAATTAAGGTGTGGAGTTGAGTCCTAGCCCACCTCTGAAATGACGTGTAATGTGAGTAAGAAAAATTTCTCTTGTTATGAGCCACTAATTTTGATGATCCACATTTTAAACCAGTGAAAAATACAGTTGACAAGGTCCTTAAGTCATAGTTTAAAACTCAGCTTGTGGCAAGGACCACTCAAGTATGTGACTCTCACTTCTTTTGTAAAAACTTGTGAACTGATCAGTGTGGTTCTAAGAAGACCTTTCAATTAGTCAAGATGATTCAGAGGAAAGAGATTGAGTGTAACTCTCCCAAAGGAGTTAGCAGACTCCACTTATCACCTACAGTGAAGTCTAAAGAGAAAGGAATATCTAAAAGGAATTGTGGATTTGACTGTTAGCCCCTGGACTGACTAGAATAAAACAGGTATAAAAGGTATCTCACAACTCCCCCAAGAAAGACATTAGCTTGGATTTTATAAAGTTCATGAATATTTAAGACTAAGTACAACTTTGAGAAATTCCAAATTTGTGTAGAGAAATGGAGACTGAGAAAGCTGTTGTACATCTGAAAGGTATTATCTCAAAGTCTTCTCAAATGCGAACAAACAGAATTAGTGGAAAAGGATGGGCACTTTAAGAGCCTATTTCTTTTAGTACATGGAGAATGTTCTAGAAAGAACAATTCTAGAAAGCAGTCATACTTCCAGAAAGAGGTGGGAGGACGTTAGAATTACTATGGACTATGCTGTGTGTCTCATCCTTCTGGGAGTCTTTACTGCTATTACCTTCTTCCTGTTCTACTTTTTATGGGGGGGGGGAGTAAAGGAAAAGTAGAGATAACTTTGGGGTTTTTTCTTTTTTTTCCTGGTTCCTAGGCCTCTGGATCAAGAGAAGCCACATCTGGATTTGATGTAGAGACTATCAGAGATGCTTGAGCCTGATGCCATGACTAGAAGGTCTCCTTTGAGAAGGGGATGTATTTATATTGCATATGGAAGGTACATAGAGGTCATGTTTGTGACACAGAGGGCAGATTGGAAAGGAATTTACAACTGTCCTAAGCCTTAATTGACTCTCCCTAATGGGCTCCACCATACTAAAATATTATGTGTTCCCACACCAGTGACATCAGCTTTGGGTATATTGTTTGCTTTAGCAATAGAAGTTGAGTAGGAGTAACAGGAACCACTTGAAAGAAATGCCTTTGGGGCCTGACAGCTTTTCTATCACTGTCCTGAGACTGAGTTCCAGATTGAGGCTTGTTCTTTAGGACTGTATTCTGTATTCTTGAAGGTAACAAAGGACATTTCAAAAGAAAACATAGAATACACAAGAAAACATTTCTTGTTATAAGCCACTGAGATTTGCAGGTGTCTGCTTCTGCAGCATAACTTGGTCCTCACTGATAAAGCTTTTTCCATATTGCAAAGGCTCTCTGTTATTTCTCCTTTTCTAATACCATCACTATTTGGCATACCAAAATGAGCTGTGAAATCTGAACCTTTATCCCTGCTTAGTGGGATTTAATCTTTCAGTTTCTATCCAATGAATTTTCTCAATCCTTGCCAGTTCTTGGAAACTTATACAGCTGTTCATACCAAATAGAAAGATATTCAGAGTGGTTAAGCCCTAGATATTTTAGCATCAACTTGGTGCCTAGTAAATGTCACTTTCACATACATTCCAGGATCATAGCCGCACTCCTGTGGAGGAACATCCAAAAGGAAAAAAAAGAGATAAGCAAAGTCCACACTTGCCTTAACTGTGTGGAGGGCAGCCCTGATGTAAGATAGTAAGTGGAAATGTTACATTGGTACAGGTGCATGAGATGGAGATGCAGACTTAGCATGCCTGAAATAAAATAGTGTATTTCTCTTTCAGTAAGGTAGGCCTTCACATGAAGTTACCAAGACTGACCCATGAATAATTTTATTATTTATTTATATTTTTGTGTATAAGAACTGGGGTAGAGACCAGAGGTGTGGGGGAGTGAGAAGATTCACCAGAGACAGGGCGTGAAGAGGCAGGTGAACTGAAATCCACTGCTGAGGGAAGCAGCAGGTGGGATAGGAGAGTTCTTTTGTGTCATGTGGGTCAGTTCCCTGGCCGGGATCAAATTCATGCTGCAGTGGCTGCGAATAGCTTCATAGTGCTGCCCTTTAACTAGATGCACCACCAGGGTGGGCCCTACATAAATTCTTTCAAAAATGTGTTAAATTTGGGCCCTCCCTGGTGGCTCAGCAGGTTAAAGCGCTGCACTAAGAAGCTAAAGTCACTTCCGCATGAGTTCGAATCCCACCTGCCTTGGAGGAGACCACATGGCGCGGCAGACCTCTCCTGACCCGCCTGCTGCTCCCCTCAGAAGTGTACTTCATCCATCTGCCTGTTCTGCTCCCGGCTCTGTCTCTGGTGAATCCTCTCACCCTCTGCATCTCTGGCCTGTACCCCAGTTCTATGTGGATAAATAAAATCTTTAAAAAAATTTTTTTAAAAAATGTATTAAATTTAAGGACATGAGAAACTGCTGATCCAAAAAAAAAAAAAAAAAAAGGGAGACCAACTGAGACTTAAGGAAGCAGGAACTGGCTGAGAGATGGGATGGTTGGGATATCAGAGAAAGGGGACCAAGGGATGGGTGGATTGTCTGAACCCAGAAGAGAGCAGTTATTGTGAATCCCTTTGCTACATCCCTGAGACCCATTTCACCCTTCATAATCTGTAGACAGATTATCTCCATCTGTTGCTAAGTGTATATATGAACCAGTTTTTAAAAGGTGCCTCTTCATCCCCAAGCCCCCTGCTTCAATCACCCAGGACACTGGCTCCAGCCTGGGATCAGAGCTGGGGTGCTCTGGGTATGTGTTGGGCAGCATGCTTGGTCAAACTGATGCCCTTCTCATGCCGTTGCCATGTTATCCCCTTGATCTGCCCTGGAGAACAGGAATGAGACCTGGCGGCTATCACAATGCTGAGAGCCTTCGCCTTGAGAGGATCACTGCTACTTCTGCTCCTGGGGCTAAGTGGTCAGCCAGTGCTGGGCTATGACCAGTTACCTCCTGGCACACGGGTCTGGAAATGGGTTATACACTTGTTACTTCCCGAGGCTGCCAACTTCTCTCAAGTCTAGAGATGAGAGCGTGGAAGGAGGATCTGGTTCACTCAGCCTTTGGCTTTGTTGTGGCTTATAAACGAATGAGAACTTAGTGGCTAGTTTATGAGTACAGAATCAGTTCTTGAGTCTGAGTACTTATGGGAACATTACTATACTACTTTGCACTCTTTTCACTTGGTATGTTTTTTGAGTATTCTTCAACAACATAGACAAGCCTCATTTAAAGACAGCTGAGTGTTACAGTGGCTAGCTAATGCTTTGCTAACGAACATTTATGATGCACCAGCAGGGAGCGCCCACTGGCTATTCTTTTATCTTCATTTGTGCATGGTCTAAAGGTACATGCAGGGGTCCTGGTGTACAACCTGTTAAAGCGCAGCTATCCACAGCCGCTGCAGCATGAGTTCGATCCCCAGCCAGGGAGATAATCTACATGGCGCAGCAGCAGACCTCTCCTGTCTCACCTGCTGCTCCCCTCAGCAGTGTACTTCAGTGGATCCACCTGTTCTGTTCCCCACTGTCTCTGGTGAATCCTCTTAACCCCCCGCATCTGTAGCCTATACCCCAGTTCTTGTATGCGTAAGTAAAATTCTGAAAAAAAAAAAAAAAAGTACCTGCATTAACTTTCTGATAAACATGATCAAATCATTTTTCCAAGAAGTTATACTAATTTATGCTAAACATAGGACTTCATTTCTGGCTTTTGAAAAATTACAAATTTGTATAGCCTTAGTGTAGGACTATGATTATAAAGTTAGTCAGCAGCCTATTCTTCCCCTACTGACTTGAATAATTGTATTTTTCATCAACCAAGTTCCCAGAAACAGGGCACCCTCTCCCACATCCCATTTATTCTTGTGCCAGTAACATCCCATTTTTACCCCAGTACTTGGGTGTTTGATTATCTGCAAATATATCATCTCCACTGTTTTTAAAGTGTTTTGCATATGAACTTTGGATTTTCAAGTACGATTTACAAATCCTCCTAAATGGCAATGAATCTAAGGATAAATTGGAGAAAATCAACACCTTTTAATATCTTTCCATTTTGGTACATAGTATTTGTCCCCATTTAGTTAGGTGTTAGTATGCTTCAGAACACATATTGCCTTCATATAGGCTCTGCATATTTCTTCTAAGGTTTATTCCTTCGTAACTTGTCAGTTTTGTTAATATGACCAGGACTTCTTCCTTCCCAAATATATTTTCTGATCTGTCATTGCAGTATCTAAGAACTACTCAGTAAGAGGCTTCCATGGTCCAGTAAGTATGGGCTAAACAAAGCTAAAGAGATTTGTTCATTTGGGGACTTATCAATGATTTTAATACACTTTTGCTCCCCAGGAAATTTCTTATTTGATGATGGAATCCTTTGTGATGACATCCTGAAACATACTTGGAAAACCAGGCAACCAATGATCGTCTAGTTTCTGACGTGTCAGCTCAGGCGTCGCCACTAAACCTTATCTGATGCCCAAACTCAAGCTCCCATTTCCCAACCAGAAGAAAAAAAGACAACCCAGTGTGAAAGTAAATGCTTTAATAAGTGTTGCTCAGAGGAGCCATGTCTCTCCACACCAGTGGACCCTCGACGGGGCAAGGTGAGCGGGCTGCCTGGGGGGGCAAGGATATGGGGTCTAAAGAGTGAGCTGGCACAAAGGAGGTGAGAGAGGCATCCTCTGGGGGCTGAGCTCCTGGGAGTGTGTGTGGAGTGGGGGCACGGGCCTCAGGATGGGCCCTCTTCAGGCATTCCTAGCAAAGCCACGAGGGGCTCGAGGGGTGTGGGGGTGCCGACAGACACAGGGTGTGTGCGTTCATGCTTGCGCAGGTCGCTAGCACTCAGGAAGGCCTTGGGGCACTGGGTGCAAGTGTAGGGACGCACAGAGCTATGGGTGCGGCTGTGCTTGCGCAGCCCAGCCCGGTCTGAGAAGCTCTTGCCACACTGGGTGCAGGAAAAGGGCCGTAGCTCCGGGTGGGAGCGCTCGTGCCTTCGCAACAAGGTTGATGTGGAGAAAGTCTCCTTGCACTCCCTGCACACAAACTGTGGTGGCTTCTCTTCAGGCTCCTCACCCCCGACAGGGCCAGGAGCCTCCCCAAGTGCAGAGTCTTGGCACTCCACATGCTCCACTGTCATGCCTACCACTTGCCACTGGGTGGCCATCACACCACCTGATTCAGGGGGCAGCCCTAGCAACCCTGCCGGTGGGTCCCCCAGCCCTGCACCTGTCGTGGGGGCCGCAGAGCCCTCACCTGCCACACTGACAGGCAGTGCCAGCCCCACTACCAGCTCCTGCTGCGGGGGAGCCCCTGCAGCCTCACTACTTCGATGGGTCCGCTCATGCTTTCTCAGGCTTGATGACACCACGAAGGATTTCCCGCAGGCATTGCAGTGGAAGGGGCGCTCACCCGAGTGCACACGGCTGTGCTTTGTGAGACTGGCTCGCTCAGCGAAGGCTCGCCCACACTCTTCGCAGCGGAAGGGCCGCTGGCCTGAGTGCACCAGTGCGTGCCGCTTGAGGTCCCAGGACGCCACGAATGTCTTGTCACACTGCAGGCACTTGAATGGCCGGTCGCCCGTGTGCACCCGCCGGTGCATGGCCAGATCCGCCGGCTGCCGGAAGTCCTTGCCGCACTTCTCGCAGCGGTAAGGCTTCACGCCCTCGTGCGCCCGCTGGTGGCGCCGGAAGCTTGAGGGGTCAGAGAACATGCGGCCGCAGCGGGGGCACAGGAAGGGCTTCTCACCCGAGTGCGTGCGCTCGTGGCTCTGGTAGGAGCTGAGCTGCGTGAAGCCCTTGCCGCAGGCAGGGCAGCGATAGGGCTTCTGTGCGGCGTGGATCCGCTGGTGGCAAGTGAGCGAGGACGAGCGGGAGAAGCTCTTGCCGCACTCCGAGCAGAGGAAGGGGCGCTCGCCCGTGTGGGACCTGTGGGAGTGTGGAGGGCCGGCATGAAGGTGGCAGGCCCGTGACCTGGCTCCTGCTGCCGGTCCAGTCTGTAATTTAAGCCCCCTAATATCCCCAGGAGTCTTGGCCCAGTCCACTAAACTCCACAGGGCTGTTCCCCAAGCAAGAACCTTCAAACTGACTGCCTAGATACAGATAAGACTCCTCTATGACACCAGCGACCAAGCCCTCTCTCCGCTCCAGAGCTGCCCCGGGGGCCCTTCCTACCGGCGGGGGCTGAGGCCAATCGGACCCTCCTCCATCTCCAGGCTCCAGCCCGCGCCGTCCCCCCCCACCCCAGTGACCAGCCGGGGTGCCAACTCCAACTCCCGGGTGCCGAGCCCGGTCGGCCCTCATCTCTCTGGGGCCCGCCCTCAGGCCCTCCGGCCAGCCCGTCCCGCCCTCAGACCCCCTCACCGTTCGTGGTTGCGCAGATCCTTCAGCTCCGCGTAGGCCTTGCCGCAGCGCTCGCAGCCGTAGGGCCGCAGGCCGGCGTGTGTGCGCCGGTGCTTGCGGAACACCGACGGGTCGGCGAAGCTCTTGCCGCAGTCTGCGCAGGTATAGGGCCGCTCGCCCGTGTGGCCGCGCTGGTGGATCTTGAGCTTGGAGAGGGCGCCGTAGGCCTTGGGGCAGTGTGTGCAGCGGAAGGGCAGCTCCCCTGCGTGGGAGGCCAAGTGCACGCGCAGGCACACAGGCTGCATGAAGCGGCGGCCGCACTCGGGGCACGGGAAGGGCTTCTCACCCGTGTGGCTGCGCCCGTGGCTGCGCAGCTCGGGAGCTGTTTTGTAGGCTTTGGGGCACAGTGGACACGCGTAGGGCCGAGGCTTAGCCCCTGTGCCTGACACCTTATCCCCACTGGCATCTTCGGCTTTGGGTTCTGTTTCTGGCTTCTGCTTCACCTCGGTCGCCTGCTCTGTGCTCTCTACAGGCCCATGTGTGGCCGCATGACGTGCGGCCCTGGGCGCGTTGGGAAATGTCTTGGTACAGGACAGGCACTTGAAGCGCCTGCCAGAGCGCTTGTAGCCCGGGGCTGGAGTTCGAGCCTCGGTAGACTCCACCTCCATGGCCCTGATGGGCGGGACTTCTGTGCAAGAGAAGTGAAGTTAGATGGAAGCCACAGGCTTTTGCCATTCTCCAAGGCCTTTCTCCTCACAAAGCCCTCAGGAGGACTCTGGGGGAAACCTAGCTTATCTGCATTTCCCAGTTAGGAGGCCACATCCTTCCAAACATTCCTGAGTCTGACAGTCTGCCCTCCAGATTCCACTCTGTTCACTGATGAAATGAGTTGAACAGGTGACCTAAAGTGCTAAGAGAGGGGGCAGAGGTCATCAAAATGTCCATCTCACTTCCTTCCTTGTCACTTTTTCAGGGCTTTTCTGAAATGCCTGCTATTCCCAGAAGGCTCAGGTTCTAGATTGTCATTATTTTTCATCTTCAGGCCTGTACCAGAAAATTGCTCCAGGCTGCAGATACAAAGGTATCCAGACATGGGTCTGGATACCAGCAAAGTCAGACAAAGGCCCGAAGAGGGCAGAACCCCTGGGCTAACTGGTAACTGACCACAGGTCCCCCATGTATATATTTTGTTTTCCCCTCTGGTTGGTTAACTTTCAGAGGCAGCAGCTGTTGACACAAAATTCTGGCAGATGTAAGGGACTCCACCCTACACAGGAATCCTGGTCCACCCTCTGGAGCCTTTGGGCTCCAGTGCTCTGGTAAAGGAGAGCTCAATTACCCTCAAGGCAACTCGAACTACTGCCAGCAGTTAGAAGGCTTTCGCTCTTTTTAAAAACTGTATTTATTTATTTGAAGTAAAACTGCATTATATGTTTCAGGTGTGCATCATTAAAAATCAACATGTCTATATACTGTTTTAAGTTCACTACTGAAAGTCCAATTCTAGCCTTCACCATACAGTTAACCCCTTATACATGATTTACCTCCCTTTTTTTCCTTTCCACTGCTCTTCTGCTTAATTGTTCTTACAGCCTTTCAATGAATCTAGCTGGCCGCCTCCTAGGTCACCTAGTTGAGGTCCCGTCTTGGTTCAGAGCCCAGATACCCTCCACCCAGCTGCTACTGGGGATCACAGCTAGGAGGAAACAGGATTAATGGCTACAGTTAGACTTAACACCAGCTCATCCTTCCTGGGGGGCGCAGGGAAGAGGATTATGGCAGATCCACTTAAGGAGTGCACAGCGGTAGCCGGGGTGCTAGAGAGAGGAGAGGGGAGGGAAACGGATATGCCCAGAAACGAGAATGCCGCAGGGCGGCCTGGGTTGTAATGCCCCTTTCTAGGCCTGTTTCTTCATACCCAGAGGTTGGTGGCTTCTAAGGTAAGACCCAGGAAGGAGGCAGAAGTCTCGCTGAGTGGCAAGGGTTACCTCTTTAGGGTCAGCACTCTTCGGCCCCATGGTCCTGCCTCTGTCCCCTTGAACTACAGACACAGCCTACAGGCCACTGGGGTTTTCTCCCTGAGGCACCATGTGAGACTCTCTGTTCCCTGCCCAGATGTGACTTCTATCATATCAGGCAAGTTCTCAGGGCCTGCCTTCCCGATGTCATAAAGCCAATCCTTCAAGTCCCACGTCACCAAGGGAGCTCTGCATCTTCCCCTTGGTTTTGGCCCCAACCCCACACCTCTCTAATACCACCCTCAGCTTGGCTATTTCACTTTTCTCACTAATTTCTGGGGCTGGGGGCTGGGGACTAGCAGACGAGTTAAAGGGCTTTGAGGCCAACTTTCTCCATGGTTTGAGTGCCCCCTATGCATTTCAGGGGATCCCTTACTCTTGAACAAGGCACTCATTACCACTCTCCAGACCGTCTCTGACAATCTAACTGATTAAGTTTCTCCTCAAAATACCATAGCTGGCCTTCCCTGGTGGCTCAAGGGGTTAAAGTGCAGCACTATGAAGCTATCCACAGCCACTGCAGCACAAATTCAATCCCAGGCCAGGGAGCTGCCCCCTCAACAGTAGATCTGCCTGTTATATTCCCCACTCTGCCTCTGGTGAATCCTCTCACCTCTCTGGTCTGTACCCTAGTTCTTGTATGCATACATAAATAAATCTTTTTTAAAAAACACCATAGCCACATTTACTGAGCACATGTAAAAAGCACCTAGTCTCCCAAGCTCTTGACATGTATTGCCTCATCTAAACGTTACCAGAAAAGTTCCATTATTCCCTTTCCACGACAGAGCCCTAGTTTCTGAGGAACAATACAGCATTGTGTGAAAGTGCAGGATCTCTAAATCCAAACTGCCTGGCTTTCCTCACTTCCAAGCTGTAACTTTGTGCAATTTAATTCATGCCTTAGAACCTGTTTTCTCATCTCAAAAATGCAGGGTTGGATAAGGGTTGAATGAGATAATTACTGGCTTCAATTACAGAGCATCTTCTCAGAGGCAGATGCTCTCTGATGTGCTACCTTATTTTCTAGTAGTTTCCTAAGATAGAGGTTATTGTCCTCACTTGACAGAAGAATAAAGGGCCACGCAGCTAGTGTGGTACTTGGTTAGGGAACTGGTACCCGAAACCAGGTGTTTATCTTGCCTGGCTTTGTGAGGCCTTGCCAGACTTGTCTGCTGCCTGTCATCCCCACCAGGACCAGGACCCTGAGCTCAGGTCACACCTTTGTCTCCTCCCATACCGATGAGCCACCCTGAGCCCAGACCAACAGTTACTGTTTCCCCAGAGGGCTCGGTCTTCAGGTTCTGAACCCAAGTCTTTGGACACTGGGGCTGGGCTCTTGCTCTACCCGTCTTCATTTACTTAAGGCTGATTAGCCAATTCAAGACTCTCCCACTGCTTCAAGGACAAAGACTAGTATCTCTTCCATGCCTAGCCAGGCCCTGAGCCACCTAACTCCTGCCAACCTCACCTCCTAGCTCACTAAACTTCACCCACACAAGATCCTTTTCCTTTCTTTTTGACTTTCAACCAGTGAAAGACTTAAAAATCCCTTCTGACATCAGGGATTTTGCACTAGTAGTCCTCTTTACCAGAGCCACTATTCCCCGAGATCTTTGTGTAGCTCTCTCTCTCTCATTTGGGGCTCAGCAACCTGTCACCTCCTCAAAGAGGGTTTTCCCGGCTGCCTTTCCTAATGCTATCTTCATCTTTGTTAATCACGCCATCTCTCCTCCCCTTCTTTAACTTCCTTTATAGTGCTCATCTGGACAACTTTCTCTACAAGCTTACCATGGGTCAAGTATCACTCAAAGAATTTGACCTGTAAGCCTCATAACTACCTAGAAATGTCCTATGGATTGAATGCACGTTTGCATGGATAAAAAACCATTTGAGGACATAGTGGAAAGGTGGCCATCTACAGGCCAGAAAAGGAGCCCTCACCAGGAATCAGTATCTTAACGATGTGAGAAATAAATTTCTGTTGTTTCAACCACGTAGCCCAAACAGACTAAATTAAATCGCGTTTTATCCCCCTTTTATAGACAAGGACAGTGAGTGAGACACACAGAAGTGAAGTAATTGATCCCGATCACAACCAGTGAAGTGAATGGACCAAGGGCCAGGAGTCCCCTGAATTCTGCTTACAAAATTTGCACCCTTTATGCCATGCTTAATTCTGTGTCTGGGACCAGAGCCTATGGGGTGAAGAATCAAGGACCTTTTTAATTCTGTATCCTCTATGCATAGAGCCCTGCTTAGTGCATCAAAATAATGAATCAATCTCCCAAAATTCAAACTCAGACTTACAGCTTTTGCCGTCCCCATTAATAGTTTATGAGACTGTTGGTTAACAAGTATTTATTAATTTAATTTGCCTCTTCAAGTTCACAAGGTCCAAATACACTAAAATATCCCACACCGTGGTTTCACTGTTTTAGTGAGGGAGCCTTGTCTTTGCTTCATTACTGGCTTCGAGGGATATAAAGTCCCACTGCCTAAACGGGCTTACTACCAGTTATGCAGAGATTTAAATCCCAGAGACTTATCTGCAATGATAAGGTGGAAAGGAGCCACTTTTTAATCCCCTCCGCACCTCACTCTCCCCCCATGTCTAAACAAGCAGTCCCAATAGGGCTCACAGGCCAGGAGATATCTGGTGAGATGGTGCATGGGGACTTGTAAACCGTGCAGAGGTGAAAACTAATAATTTCTTGCTGCTCCCAACTGGTCAAATCACAACCTAATCCCAACTTACTTTTCCAATTCACGCTCAGCTCCAGTGGCACTGACCCCACCCAGCGGCGACCACAATCCTCTAACTTCCCCACCTAAGGACATCTCCAGTTTCCTCTTGCCTTCTCCTATGGGGCAATTCTTGTATCGTTTAAATACCCGCTTCCTCAATGCCCTCGGGAATACTTAACAGGCGATAGAGGTAGGGCGCCACGGTGCTCGGAGCCTCGGTTTTCTCATCAGTAAAATGGGATGTTTTGAGTCATGTGGGAGTTTGCAAGCCTTTAGGGCTAAAGAGACGCAGTGAGGAATGGCCGGGCCCAGCGCCGCCCGCTCCCTGCAAGCTTTGTGTCGGCGCCGGCGCCAAACAGCCCCGCAGGGCAGGGCGCTGGGCTGACTCGTCTCGGAATGAGTCCTGGTTAAACGTGGCCTCGGAGAACGTGGCACGAAGAAATAAACGAAGACTGAGAGAATGCACAAATGAATGGACCGAAGGCCAGACGCTGGACAAAGGCCTGCAAGATGGCGTTCTCTAGGACCGCGGGAGGGGCGGCCGGGACCTCGGCCGAGGAGGGGGTTCCGGCGGCGCTGGGGACCTTGCTAGGCGGGTCGCGCGCTTGGGACAAAAGACCGCAACATGGCGGGCTCTAGGACCCCCGGGCCCGCACCGTGCAAGGCGGACAGCCGAGCCGCCGGAGCCCAGGCGACCGCATCTGCCGGCCCGCGGGGACAGCCGGCGGGTTCTAGGACCCGCTGGGCCCGGAGCCCGCCAGCACCCTCCCGAGGCCGCACTCCTCCCGCCCCGCCCGCACTCCTCGCGCCAGGCCAACCCCATCCGCCCTCGGCACCCACGGGGAAACTGAGGTCCTTTCCTATAGCGTCCGCGCTGGTGCCCCCAGGGGGTCCTCGCGGCCTCTCCCGGCGTTTCCTACCTGAATGGACTTGGGTTGGCTCGGTGGCGTCGGCTACAGCTCCTCTGGACGACCGAGCCCGGGACACGGCCAGGGAGGGGCCGGCGCTAGGACCCAGCGGGGGGAGGGGGTGGAAAGGCAGGGAGGCGGGGCCGCGAGCGGAAGTGGAAGGAGCTACCCTGGCCGCAGAGGAAGGCAAAGTTTACCAGAGCACCCCAAGCCGAAGGTGGTGGAGAAACATCTGGCCGGGGGCTCAGTGGGTGTGAATGACTGGGGACGTCGGACAGGTTGACGGTATAACCCGGCTATTTCTATCCTGGGGCCAGATCATCAAGAACTCGAAGATGAGAGGACAGAAAGGCCATGCTCAAGATTTGTAGACGCCCCCCCCACCCGCTTGTGTCCCAGAACATTTCCTTTAACAGCGAGGAGTGAATGAGTCGACTCCCATCTGCCTTGAGTTTTTCAGGGAGCCCCACGAAAAGTGTCGCCACAGTACTCAGGTCAGGGCTGCAGAACCCTTTTTTTTTCCTCTTCTGTGTCCAATCAGTATGCACCGGAACGACTTTCCCTGCTCTCGCCGGAAGTGTGGCTAAGGTAGCGTGCTACGAAGCCGCGCTGTGACCTACGGGGGCGGGGTGAGTGTAGCGTTGCAGCGAACTCGTCCCTAGCACCGGAAGTGTGTCTGTGTGGACAGGCTACTTGGAGGCGGGACAGGATATGTTCCCGAAGGCGGAGGTTTCGCGGGGAAGCTTTTGCGGCCAGGACACTTCCTGTTTCCTAGTAACAATAGGAAGTGTCCGCGGACCCTGGGCTAGACTCTTGGTTCGTGCCAGCTGCGTCCACCTGCCTTCACCTTCTTCCTTTCCTTCCTCCTCCTTTCCTTCTTTCTCTCCCCTCTCACTTCCCAGGAGCCCTGGCAGAGTGTGGTGTGTGGAAGCGCGAGAGCCCCGTACAGCCACCCCTTGGGGCGCGCGGCTGCAGTTAGGGTGAGGGTCCCATTGCGCAGGCGCGCTCCCGTTCGCGGTCCCCAACGGACGCACCCGCGGCGGGAACGGGAAAGGGCCTCTGTGCGAGGTAGGGGTCCTAAGAGTAAATTGGCAGAGGAGATGAGTAAGGCGAAAGGACCTCCTTGGTGCTTAATTAGGAGAGGGCATTCTTGAGCGAAAGGGCTTTGTGAGGTGAGAATTCACGGAGCAGGTTCAAAAAGGGGATTCAGAGTCGGAGATTGGGAGTTGTATTGGGATCCCATGGGAGTGAAAAATCCCAGTGAGGGAAGGCCATGGTGACATAGGCATGGGGAGCAACTATGGAGAAACAAGGGCTTTGAAAAGATTGCCAGAGTCAGTAGGTTTACTCTTGTGTAATTGGGATCACAGTGTGTTGTGAGGAGACAGTGACACAATGAGTAATCGCTGGGCAGTGGTACATGGTAGTGCTGTTAGCACGCTTTGTTGTCATCATCAGTGTTTGAGAGGAGGTAGAAGAAAAATGAGAAGGGACAGTAAGGATGGAAAAAATGGGAGAGAAATAGGTAGGGGGTGCAGAACAACCAAAACTGGGATGGCATTCCCAAGATGGAAGATGGTTTGGGTTTAGGGGAAGTAGGTGAAGGAGTAGTCAAGAGACTCTTAGAAAGAAGACCTGACCCTGAAAGCTATAGTGAAGGGGAACAAGCCCCCCCTTTTTCTGAAGAGAACTTTCTTAAGCGCTGGAGAAAGATGCTGCTTTTTCAGTGCCTGTAGGCTTCTCTTTTTAGCCAAGAAGTGCAGGAGTGAGGGTTGGACTTTTCTAATTGAAGGGTCTAGACAAGGTTGAGATTTCCTTTTAAGAGGTCACAGAAGATAGGTTTCGTTTGTTTCACAATTACAGAGCATAGAGTGAGGTAGCCTTTTTGGATTTGCTGGAAAGAGCAAGAAAATTGGTTTATGACCAGTGGTAGGTTGTAGTCCTCTAGACTTTAACCTGAGCTATTCCTAGAGGAGCATTGATATTTGGGGAACTTATATGCAAGGAGGCCTTGAATGATGGTGCTTCAAGATTAGATCCAGTTGGAAGCAGATTTATAGACATTCATGCTTGGGGAACCTCTGACCTCTGGTGAACTTATTGCTGAGAGAGCCAAGAGCGAAGTCAGTGCAGGCCTTTCTTCTGATCACTGCTTCCTCTTCCTAGGCCTGGGCCCCTCCACCAGTGGAAGATGCCGCTGCCACCTGCCTGCTCTTCCTGAACCTCCAGCTTCTGTCACACTGCCCCATGGAGGACGTTCCCACCTCACTCAGCTGCTCTGACTGTCAGCGCCATTTTCCTAGCCTCCCAGAACTATCACGGCACCGGGAATTACTCCACCCGTCTTCCAGTCAGGATAGTGAGGAGGCTGACAGCATCCCCCGACCCTACCGCTGTCAGCAGTGTGGGCGGGGCTACCGTCACCCAGGGAGTCTCGTCAACCACCGCCGGACCCACGAGACTGGCCTTTTTCCCTGTACCACCTGTGGTAAGGACTTCACCAATCCCATGGCCCTCAAGAGCCACATGAGGACTCATGTTCCTGAGGGGCGACGGAGGCGCAGGCCGCCCCGCCCAAAGGAAGCTACACCACGCCTCCACGGTGAGACAGTGTCCACTGCCTCCTGGGGTCAGAGGCTTGGCTCTGCAGAAGGCTGGGAAAACCAGAAAAAGCTTACTGAAGAGACATCTGGCTGTGAGTCTGGGCCTGACCCCGCAGCAGCCCTGGGCACTTGGGAAGATCCACCGCCTACCAGGCAAAGAGAAGGCTGGGAAATCCAGCCAGATCCCGAGGGCGGTGCCGAGGACTGGGGGCCCACCACCAACTCTGCCAAAGCCCCACCCCTCCCCACCCCAGCCAGCAGCCTCCTCAGTAATTTGGAACAGTATTTGGCTGAGTCAGTAGTGAATTTCACGGGGGGCCAGGAGCCCACCCAGTCCCCTCCTGCTGAGGAGGAACGGCGGTACAAGTGTAGTCAGTGTGGCAAGACTTACAAGCATGCTGGGAGCCTCACCAACCACCGCCAGAGCCACACCCTGGGTGTCTACCCTTGTGCCATCTGCTTCAAGGAGTTCTCTAACCTCATGGCTCTGAAGAACCACTCCCGACTCCATGCCCAATATCGACCTTACCAGTGTCCTCGCTGCCCCCGCGCCTTCCGGCTTCCCCGAGAGCTGCTGGAACACCAGCAGTCGCATGAAGGGGAAAGGCAGGAACAGCTGTGGGAAGAGAAAGGGGTGCCTACCACCAATGGGCACATAGACGAGAGTAGCCGGGACCAGCTCCCCAATACACAGATGCTGAACGGCTCCGGGGATCTCAGCACCTCTGGGGAGCTGGAGGACGGTGGCCTGGAGGAGTACCGGCCTTTCCGCTGTGGGGACTGTGGCCGTACCTACCGCCATGCAGGGAGCCTCATCAACCATCGCAAGAGCCACCAAACGGGCGTGTACCCCTGCTCCGTCTGTTCCAAGCAGCTGTTCAATGCAGCTGCCCTCAAAAACCATGTGCGGGCTCACCACCGACCCCGGCAAGGAACTGGGGAGGATGGGCAACAGTCATCAGTGCTGCCAGCTCTTTTACCTTTGGCTGAGAGCACCCCCAAAGAGAAAGTGTGCCCCACCACCTCCCTGGACCACCGCCCCTATAAGTGCAATGAGTGTGGCCGGGCCTACCGCCACCGGGGCAGCCTGGTAAACCACCGCCACAGCCACCGCACCGGAGAGTATCAGTGCTCACTCTGCCCCCGCAAGTACCCCAACCTCATGGCCCTGCGCAACCACGTGCGGGTACATTGCAAAGCAGCTCGCCGCAGTGCTGGCCCGGGGACTGAGGGTCCCCCCACCCACCTCAAAGTGGAACTTCCACCTGATCTGCCAGGAGCAGAAACAGTCCCACAAATCAGTCTGGGGCAAGGGTGCAAACATGAAGAGGAAGCCACTGAACTCCCCCCTGCAGGAGACAGGACAGCACCACAGATATGTAATGTGTCTGGCATGTTCTTTGAAGGCCCCAAAAGCCTCGAACATCATGACCGAACCCACGGGGAAGGGGAAAACCACAAGACAGAGACCAGGGTGTCACCTCCTCGGACATTTGCCTGCCGAGACTGTGGCAAGAGCTACCGTCACTCAGGCAGTCTTATCAACCACAGACAGACCCACCAGACAGGAGACTTCAGTTGTGGGACCTGCGCCAAGCACTTCCACACCATGGCAGCCATGAAGAACCACTTGCGACGCCACAGTCGGCGGCGCAGCAGGCGGCACCGGAGGCGAACTGGCAGTGCGGGTGGTGGGGGAGAAGCCAAACTCCCATCAGGCGAGAACTGGGCCCAGAAATCAGTGGAAGATAATGAGGGCCTGAACTGTTCCCAAGACCCTTCTGGGCAAAGTCCTGTTGGAACTGAAGACAACTTGGAGAGTGATGGGTGCTGTTCGCAGGCGAGATTCAAAAGGGACAAATGTGGGCTTGAGAGCGGCGGGGCATGTGTAGAGGGTGAGAAAGAAAGCATCGGTACTGAGGAAGGATTGGAAAGGAAAGAGGCCTGTTTCCTTGACACCTTGGACCTCCCAGGCCATGAGGAAAGTGATGGGACTCGCTTCTGTGATGGCCTCGCCAGGGTGGATGAAGACCAGAAACCAGCCTCTGGTCCGCCCATCTCCTCTTCCCCCTTAGGCGAAGCTGTCACAAGCTGGCAGGCTGAGGTCTCCCATACATGTGCTGACTGTGGGCATTCTTTCCCCCATGCCACCGGCCTGCTGAGCCACAGACCCTGCCACCCACCCGGCATCTATCAGTGTTCCCTCTGCCCAAAGGAGTTTGACTCGCTGCCTGCTCTGCGGAGCCACTTCCAGAACCACAGGCCCGGGGAGGCAGCCTCAGCACAGCCTTTCCTCTGTTGCCTCTGCGGCATGATCTTCCCTGGGCGGGCGGGTTACAGGCTCCACCGGCGCCAGGCCCATGACGCCGGCATGACCGAGGGCTCGGATGAGGAGGGGGAAGAGGAAGGAGCGGCGGGGGCAGCCTCCACTGGTAGCCCTCCACTGCAGCTCTCGGAGGCGGAGCTGCTGAATCAGCTGCAGCGGGAAGTGGAGG